TCTCGGCACCATTTGTAAAAGCAAGTTTATTTGGATACTTTAATTTGCTTATAAATATTAATGTTTATTGCCCTAGATAATATATAGGATCACGACTTAAAGTATACATGGGACTCTAGACTTTGGTCTCTGATAGCTCCTCTAATTTGTTTTACTAAGCTTCTTAACTATCCATTTCCCTTAGGACGCATCATTCCAAACGCAGGACCTTACGAACATCAAAGTTCAGAAAGACACTGACGAGCCTCTGCTTGAAATCACTCAGCCTAAAGTTAGCCACCCAGCCAGATCATCAGTTTCTCCTTCACTTTGCCTGCCCTGGCGTCAGCCTTCACCTTTAACTGCCATTAATATCCCTGTTTGGACTACTTCATACGTTTCGCACAATGACTTCATTCACTCTCCTCGACCAACATGCCAATCTGGCAGATTGCTAATTAGCAGTTCTACAGGCCTAGAACCACCTCTCACACAAGCTGTGCAAGTTATCGGAACAGGCGATATGCAGCACAGGGCTTTGCTCACGCATCCATTTACTTCCCCATCAATTTCCCAGTCTCTCATCTCAATATCTGAATTTGAGACACCACCATGTATTGGATATAGTGAAGATCAAATCGACTCAAGCACATTGGTTGGTCGTAGCATGCAGGACGAGATTATTCAGCATGGTCGCGTCTCCTGGGCTGCCTATACAGCCTTTGTTCTGGCTCGTGGAGTCTGGTTCACTGGCATCACTCTATTCAGTTACTCCACTTTTCTCTCATTCCAGGTCATTATTTTGTGCCTTTTTGAAGGTTTTTCCAAATCTCTTTTACATCCGAAGAAACACCTAAATCTAGTTTATTTTAAATTTTACAATTAAGAATAACGAAGCTTCTAGCTAATTTGGCATACTTTTGGTTTAGTATACTTAATATGCCATCTGATTATGTCCTATAGTATGACATATTTGATGGCCAAATTGAGGTATTATAACTGTCAAGTTAGGTAATACACAAGGGACAAGTAATTTGAGTTTGGAGGAATGACTTATTTAATCAAATAGTAATTCAGACTAGGTGCTTTCCTCTAAGTCTTCCTACCAATATGACCAAATTCCGAAAACAAGGTCAAACAACCTCTATGCAACGAAAGGAGACTGCGACCACACGAAAGGCCACACCATCTTTGTCTTCATACCTTCTACCAGTAGGCATCACGATGCCATTGAATCTCACTCAATTTTGCATTGTTGAATTAATATCGAAGAGGTTTGGATTACGTCGAAAGTCACGTCTGCCCTTTGATCTACTGGTACCCATATCTGTGTGACATCGTGGTAACGTGTCAAAACTTAGTTACATTTTGGAGGTGATAATGAACCTAAAGTCAGGTCCAAACTAAACTTTACTCTGGATGAGACTCACCTCTGGGTGGTAAGGCTAGGTGAAATTCATTGGTATCATAGGGCCTATTACTATCATTATTGGAAAATTTAACTTCATTAACTTATGCGACCTGGGCTGACTACAATCCTTATTTAAGATCTACTTACGGTTTCGA